ACCAAAATGTTTTGTGTAATATTGGAAGGGTGCTTGGCTGCCCTTTAAAAGTTGATGCCCCATCTTACAATCTGGATACACCAGTTGGTGCAAGAGTGCTGGTGGAAAGAGATATCACATTGCCAGAAATAAAGAGGGTTTTGATTGGAACACCTGAGGAAGGGTTTTGGCAAAGCATTATTATGGAACAAAAACCAATATTCTTCCCTCACTGCAGGATGTTTGGACACAATGTGGACAAATGCTATAGGCTGTGTCCACCAACTAGAAAATCAACTCCTAAAAGCATGCCTACTCAGGGAGAGTCTGCTGAAACCTTGGGAAAGGATAGCAGAAAAACTAATGAATAGGCAGCAGTCAATGGTGAAACTAATATGGCAATCTGTCCCAAGCTTCCAAGTATTGTTGAAGAGGTCAATGAAATAAATACTCCCACCAGGATTGTTCAGGAACAGGTAGTGGAGGGCAAACAAAAAAATAGTGCAAGAAGCAAGATAGATATTAGTTCCCACTAAATCCAAAACTCTAATGTGGAATTAATAGCTGAGGTGCTTACTGAAGAATGGCAAGTTCAAAGGAAGAATAGGAAAAAGAAGGGGCAGATGGAATTGAAGCTTCTGCAGGAAGCTCCCTCCTTGGAAGGAAATAATCAGCTGATAGATTCTATACAGAGAACCAGAAGGAAAGGGAGAACCCTTTCACAATGATTAAGTTTTTATGTTGGAACATTAGGGGTGTTGCACACCCCAACTCTCTCACAAGGCTGGTTCACCTTGTGAAAACTCAACAAATATGGTTTTTTGCTCTTTTGAAAATCATGGTTTCTAAGAATTCTTCTAATATTCTCAAAAAATTCCCCAAATTTTCTCACTATGCTAACTATAATAACAAGATTTGGCTATTTTCCATAACTGAATTAAAGTGGAAGGTTATTCTGAATAGCCCCCAATATCTACATATTCAATTTATTGTTGGTGCTCAGGTGGGTTATGCTACCTTTGTTTATGCCAGCAGTCTTCCTAGGAATTAAGAGTTGTTGTGGAAGGAGCTTTCTCATATCAACCAGTCCATAAACTCCTTTTGGATTGTTGGGGGGATTTTAATTGTATTACTTCTCCTGAGGAAAAAAAAAGGAGGCATGCCTCCTTCTCAAACTCTTATGTTGAAGTTTAATGAATTCCTTCTAGATGCTTAGTTATTTGATTTGGGTTTTCAAGGTCCTAAATACACTTGGAGAAGAGGGGTTCTATGGGAAAGGCTTGATAGAATGTTGGGGAACTCTATGTGGCTTCAAACCTTCCCTTATACAGTCATCACACACCTTGCCATGTCTGGGTCAGACCATAGACCCATTCTTTGCTCTATTCAAAATGCTGTGAAGCATGGGGGTTCCCCCTTTAGATTCCAAAACATATGGACTCTTCATCCTAATTTCATCAAGGAAGTAACTAATGCTTGGACCATCAATGAAGACTATGGACCTTCGATAAATTTATGGAAATTACAGAAGAAGGTGGCCCTGCATTTAAAGAGTTGGAATTGGAATACTTTTGGTGATTTTAAAGAATTTAAAAACTGCTCAAAATCAGGTGATTAGCATTGAAGAAGACTTCTAGAAGGGTTTAAAAACTGAGAGAGAACTTCATAAAGCTAATGAAGAACTACTTTTTCATATCACTTACAATGAAGCCTTCTTGAAGCAGAAAGCTGTTTTTACCAAGTTCACTGAGGGGGACAAAAACTCCAGCTTCTTTCATGCTTGCATAAATTTCAGGAGAAAATGTAATATGATTCTAGAGATTAAGAACTCTGAGGGTATAAAGTTAACTAAGGCTGAAGACATTGTTCTTGATGCTGTCAAATTTTTTCAACAACTTTTTAACTCCCATCCCACTACTAGAACTATTGTTGATGCTAATTTATTTGCTGATGAAACTGACAATGTCAGTAGGCTGACCCTTGATCAAATCCCCTTTGAAGATGAGATTAGAGCTGCTCTTGACTCTATAGATGATGACAAAACTGCTGGCCCTGATGGCTACACTGCAAAGCCTTACAAAAGCTGCTAGACAGTGGTTAAGAATGAATTTATATCTGCTGTTCAGGAATTTTTTAGAGGTAACAATCCACCCAAGTACTTTACCTCCTCAACTATCACTTTCATTCCTAAAAAACCAGGTCAAAAACAGGGGACATTTCAGGCCCATTAGTTTAACTAATGTTATTACCAAGGTAATAAGCAAAATCCTGGTCTTCAGAATTCAGCCACATCTTCAGCAACTAATTTGTGCTAACAAAACTGCCTTTGTAAAAGGGAGATCCATCTCAGATAACATTTTGCTTGCCCAAGAGATGCTGCTTGACTTGGACAAGAAATGTAGAGGTGGTAATGTTGTCTATAAATTAGATATTAAGAAGGCTTATGACACAATCAACTGTAATTACATCTTAGAAACTCTTGCTGCTAGGGGCTTTGCTGAAGGTTTCATTATGCAGATCAAAAGATGGCTTCTTTGTGACAACCACTCAGTGCTTTGTTTACCTCATTTTTGGTTGAGGTTTTCCTCTTTATTAGCCTAAGGTCTAGCCATAGGACTTTCCTATTGACTATTCTTAGAAAACTGGACAAGGAACCCTCACCATTAGAAATTTCAAACTCTTCTCTACTCAACTTGAAGTTCCACATATTGGTCCTAACCTCTAGCACTTAGTAGGTGGGGTCACTATGGGGTAAACTCAAGATGAGTCACCCTCAGGACTGTTGGACCCTTAGGGTTGACCCTGGGTGTTGGTCTGGAGCTAAGGCACTCACTACACTCATCTGCACTCACAATCACTCACAATGCTGAACTCGAATTTCTAGCATAAATACCCTTGGGACCCCAAATTTGGCCAAAATCTCAATTGGCCAAAATCTCAAAATCTAATATTCAAAAAATAATTTCAAACACCTTGAAAGTACCTAAACTACCAAAAATTCAAACA